CATCTCCTACCAAGTTGCGCAAGAAATGATATCTCACACGTATATGCTTGCTTCTCCCATGCAGAACTAGATTTCTAGAAAGCTTGATAGTTGAATTGTTATCATAATAAATTGAAGTGGCCTCATGTTGATTCATCTCAAGTTCTTTTAGAACTCTTCTCAACCAAATAGCTTGACAAGCACAAGAAGTTGTTGCCACATACTCTGCTTCTATTGTGGACAAAGTCACAATGGGTTGTTTCTTTGAAGACCATGAAATTGCCCCAAATCCCAACATAAAAACAAACCCAGAAGTGTTTTTTCTGTCATCCAAATCTCCAGCATAATCATTGTTTGCAAAATCTGTGCGATCTGTCTGGTCACCCTTCTTGTAGAATAGTCTAGAATCTGCAGTTCCACATAAATACCTGAAAATTCTTTTAGCAGTCTGCAAGTGTAACTCCTTTGGATGCTCCAAATATCTGCTAATCAGACTTACACCAAGTAGTATGTCTGGTCTTGTTGTTGTCAGATACATCAAACTTCCAACAATCTGCTTATACAGTTTGTTGTCCACAAATCTGCCTCTTGGATCTTTTATGACCTTTACACCTTTGTCAATTGGTGTAGTGACAGAATTGCAGTTCTTCATTTGAAATATGTTTAGAACTTCCTATACATATTTTTTCTGACAGACAAAAATTTCAGAATCTGATTGTACTATTTCCAAACCAAGAAAATAATGCAACAAACCCAGATCTGTCATATCAAATTCAAGCTTCATGGACTGCTTAAACTTTTCCAACATACCAAGATCGTTCCTAGTATAAATTAAATCATCAACATATAAGCATACTATAATCAATTTACCTCAATCTCCAAATTTGATGTAAAGTGTATGCTCATAAGGGCACTTTTGAAAACCTTCCTTCAAAAAATAAGTATCAATTCGACTATACCAAGCTCTAGGTGCTTGTGTAAGTCTATATCATGCTTCTTCAATTTGTAAACCTTATGCTCAAATTAGATTTCACATAACCAAGAGGTTGATCAATAAATACCTGTTCTTGCAGATTTCCACGCAAGAAGGTCGATTTCACATCAAGATGGTAGATCGGCCATGAGTTTTGTGCTGCCGATGCAATCACCATTCTGATGGTATCCATCCTTGCAACTGGAGCAAAAACTTCTTGATAATCAATGCCGAACTCTTGCTTGTAATCCTTTGCCACTAAGCGAGCTTTGAATTTGCCAACCTCCCCATTTTCTTTGAGCTTTGTCTTGTAGATCCATTTAACACCAATTGTCTTGTGCCCTTTTGGAAGATCTGTCAACTCCCAAGTCTGGTTCCTTTCAATAGAACCAATTTCTTCTGCCATGGCATTTTGCAACTTTTGTTCTTTAACAGCTTCTTCATATGTCAATGGATCACAATATGCAAAGAGAGAAAAATGAGTAACTAGAACATCATCTTGAGGTAGATCTGTTATCTCATAATCCTCCAACCATGCTAGTCTTCTTTTTTTGCGTTGAGGTCTGAAACTAGTTCCAAATTCTAGTTCTGATGTTGTTGGTAGACTTCCTCCAGTACTAAATTCTGTTGCTGTAGGCATACTTTCTTTAGCTGTCTATCTCGAAACTTCGAGATCTGTTGAAGTTAAACCTCCATTTTGTTTTTCTGACCTTTAGAGTTCTGCACAATTAGATCTTCTTCATTTTCAAAATTTGTAGGAATCTGTCACCCAGATTTTTCTGTCCAAGATCAAATGCTTGCTTCATCAAACACTACATCACGACTAATGACGACCTTCTTGGTTGTAGGATTGTATAATCTGTAAGCTTTGGACTGATCAGTAACATCAAGAAAAATACATTTTCCCCTTTGTCATCAAGCTTACCCTTTTTCTGATTTGGCACATGTGCATATGCTATGCACCCAAAAATTCTGAAGTAGTCAACAATAGGTTTGCGTCCACTCCAAGCCTCTTTTGGCATCATATCTGGAAGTGGAGATGTGGGACTTTTGTTCAAGATATGAACACCCCAATTAACAGCTTTTGGCCAAAACTCATTAGGTAAGCCACTCTTTGACAACTGACTTGGCACCATATTCATGATTGTGGAATTCCTCCTCTCACATACACCATTTTGCTGAAGTGTATATGCTGCTATGAGTTGTCTTTTAATACCATTGTACTCGCAAAAATCTACAAATTCCTTTGAGTTAAACTCACCACCACGATCTGTACGCAAAATCTTTACAGATCTGTCAGCCTCATTCTCAGCTAAGACTTTGAAATTTTTAAAGGCTGCTAAGGCTTCTAGCTTGGTCTGTAATGCCATAACCAAGTTGTGTACTTCAATATGGCAGATAAACATGATAGATTTATGGTCTGCAAGTATAATGGAAACAACCTATTTCTCATCATCTTAACCTTTGCAATCAGGCCAAGCTTTGAATCATGAACTTGGCAAACTCCATCTTTAATCAGGATTTCATATCCTTTCTCCTAAAGCTGTCTCAGACTAAGTAGATTCGACTTCAAATCTGGTACATACAAAACATTAGCAATAGTTTAAATTGAATTGTCTTTGGCACGAATGGTTACCTTTCCCCTTCCCTTGACTGCAATAGTGGAATTATGACCAAATTTCACCTTATCTTGAAAGGACTCATCCAGATTTGAAAACGCAGATTTGTCTCTACACATGTGGTTGCTGCAGCCAGTATTCAGATACCACACATTCTTCTTGCTAACTTCTTTAGAATGATAAGCCATGAATAGAGAGGAATCATCCTTCTTTTCATTGTGTTCTGTAAAGTTTGAACTTTCTCCTCAATTCAGATTAGCACAGCACTCATAACGATAATGGCCATACTTATGACATTTGAAGCATTCAACATTTGCCTTGTCTGTAGATTTGGATTTGTTATCTGCAGCTTGATAATTTCTTTTCTGCCACCTTTTCTGATTTCCAGTGGTTGAACTTTCCTCCATTTTGCTAGATCTTGATATGCCTTTCCAGTTTTCTTTTCCTTGACCTACTGCCCTTGAATTAACTATGCTCTGCAAGGCTTGCGTCTGCAAAATTTGCACTGCTTTCTCTTGCTTGTCTTGGCGGTTTATCTTCCGCTCATGAATTAACAATGAGTTCTACAACTCATCAAGGAAAAGAGCCTCAATATCATTTGACTCCTCAATTGAACAAACAACGTAATTGAATTTTGTTGTCATGGACTGAAGGATTTTCTCAACTATGGCAACATCCTCTAGATTTTCATCGTGATCCTCATCTCATTTGCAATTGCCATTGTCCTTGAAAAATAGTCATCTAAAGATTCACCAATCTGCATCTGCAGACTTTCAAATTCTGCCAGCAAAGCCTTGCATTGTTGCTGCTTTGCTCTTTCATTCCCCCGGTGCTTCTTCTTCATGGAATCCCAAATAGTCTTGGAAGTAGACCTGTTAAGAATTATTTCCAAGATAGCACGATCTATGGCTTGGAACAAATAGTTCTTAGCCTTGAGATCCTTCAACTTTTCCTTCTCAATTTTTGCCCTTTGTTTAGCGTCTGCATTTGCCGCTGGTTTTGGAACTCCAGCTTCAACAACTGTCCAATACTCTTTGGACTGGAGAAAATTCTCTATCAACATACTCCCATGGTTGTAGTGATGACCATCAAAACGAGGGATTGAGAGCTGAACATAATTTTTGGAAGCCATGGAATCTGCCGGAAATAGGCTCTGATACCAAATGTTAAGAAATCAAGGATTCTCGAGAAGAAAACGATGGAATGAAAATCCAAATTTCATTAAACTGTAAAATAAACTAACCTTTAAATATGTTTTACAAGATAACTTTATCTAAAATCAGCATCTAAATTATTCAATGCTAGAATAAAAATTGAACCTGCAGAAGGCGGCACGAGGTTTTTTTTTTTTTTTTAATACTTATAAAATTTAATGCAGAGAGGTTTAAATTAATTCTTTATCAAGCTCTTGTTGATGGCATGCACCAGGTACGTTATATTCAACGAGAAGACCAAGACACTACACCTTCCGAAGATTCCTTTGAACAGCACTTCTTTAGTGGTGTTCAGAAACCTAGTAATGTACGAAACCATGGCAAATCCAGAATCCTTGCATTTCAAACAATATGCTGAGTTAATGGGGGCAATTGTGGACACTGCTAAAGATCTTCTTTTGTTAAGGGATTTCAAAGTCCTCGAGGTCGATGAAAATTATCAAATGAGTGATGCCGAGATCCTCGAAATCTTTAATGGGATGACCGGACCAATGAGGTCCAAAGATGCCACCATTGACGAACAAATTGAGGAGACTAATAATAAATGCTACAACAAGCTCCAGTGGTGAGGATGAAAAGGGCCATAAAGAAGTGTGTGTATTCTTCATGGAAGTTTTGTTGCGCCTTTTGCTACGCTGCTACTGATTCTGATGATGGGTTTACAAACGTTTTGTGATGTCTATGGCTGCCCTACTGCCTTCGGCATGGCCAAAAAAGCTTGAGCTTCTCTACTAGAAATACTTTGTTTTATCTTTCTCTAGCTATTATTTCACTTTTGAACAAACCAGCCTCGTGTAAATGTTTATGTTGGTTAAAACATGTAATTATAAACTAGTAATAGATACCAACGAGGGGTTGGAT